GCATCACCCTTTGGCCTCCCCAGAGCGCCACCCACATGCTTTGGGCTTAATCCCTTGGTCAGTAAGCGGTCCTCAAATTATCCTCCTCTGGGAGGAAGAGCATCTGCTTCCCCTGGGCTCCTGACTGCTGTGGAGAGGTCAGGGCAGGCTGAGGAAGGCCGGGGATTGAGGTTTTATTCTGGATATGAGCATGGCTGGGGCCGTGGTCTCTCTTCCTTTCCTCTTCCTCTCTCTCTGTTTCTTGTGTCTGCTGTTTGGTGGCATAATCTCAAAGGTCACCTCTCCTCTAAGTCATCAACATATTTCCAGTCAAAAAAAGCAGGTGCACCTCACAAGCTTCAAAGGAGTCCCCAAATTTATCTTGTTCGGCTTTCATGGGGTCACAAGTCCTTCTCTCACCCCTTTCTCCTCATCCAGATCTGAGCCACACAATCACTGTGCATCCAGAAACTGGGTGACATCCACTGAACCCCACAGACATGGAGTTGGAGCAAGGTGATTCCCCAAAGGGAAATTAAGGGACAGAGACCAGGAGAGGACAGGGTCTTGGGAAGGCCCAGCAGGGAGATTGCCTACACCTCTGGCAATGCCCTGCCTTCTCATGCTTGGGATTTTGCATTGTCACTTTGAAGGAGGACTCAGTTATTGTCCTGACTAACTCTGTTTGTCTCTCTTACCTGTCCTCTGGAGGAGTCCTTCCCAGCTGATCTCAAATTCCAGGAGCAGAAGCCTTGCTGGCTCACACTTTGTGATAAAAACCAAGAGTGCGTCTCTCCCCAGGCAGGAGCAATCATCTCATTGCTGAGTCAGGTCTCTGAGCTAGGCCCCTAGGGTTGTGATGTGTTCCTTTATCAATACAAATTGTCTCCTAATGTTGTGTTCCACACCTGGGACCTTTTTCTTTCCAAATTTCGGAAACTGGGGGTCTGGGGTTTTAGCTCACTGGTTCTGCCTCGCAAGCGCAAGGACCCTAATTGGATCCCTGGTCCACAAAAAAACGAAAAGAAAAGAAAAAGCAGAAACTCGGCGCAGTGGCACACACCTATCATCCCAGACCTTTGTGAGGCTGAGTGGGAGTAGTGTGAGCTTGGGCAACTTAGCCACTTAGTGAGACCCTGTCTCAAAATAAATAATATGAAAAGGGCTGAGGATGCCGCTCAGTGTCTAGGTGCTAGGTTCAATTCCTAGAACCATACAAATATATATAAAGATAAAAAAGAAGAGTGGTGGACTTAGGCTGACTCCCTTACTTCAAACTTAGGAGTGCACTACACAACTGCTAATCTTGGGCAACTAATTTCCTTCCAGAGTTCCAGTTTGTTCACTTGCAAACTGAGAGCAGTAGTTGTACTTATCTCAGTGTCAGAGAGGTGATCTTAGACATTCAGAAGGGCACCTGGCATTGAGAAATGCTCAGGAAGTGTCAGCCGTTGCATTTGCTGCGTTACTGTTATACCCTTTTTCCTCTTTCTTACTGTCCCAGGTTAGAGCCACAGTCCGCAATCTCCTGGCTCCCTTTGCCATTCCAACACAGCGCTGATTGCTTATTTAATTTTGCATTTGTTTGTGATCTGTCAGCATCCCTGCCCTGAGATTCGCACCATAGGGATTAGAAATGTGTGCCTTGTTCACCAGTTTATCCCCAGCAATTGCACAGGAATTGGCACATGGAAGGTATCAAAATGCACTCCTTGAATAAATAAATGAATTGGTTGGCCCCCATATCTCTTCGTGGACCTGTTTGATTTTGGCTTCAGTTTAGGCAAGATCCCCTGAAGGAAAAGACCATTTTATTTTTGGAAGTGGCAGATTTAGGATATGAACCCAGGTTATATCTGTTGCCAGAGACCATGCATGAAGCAACTGAATCTCTATATGGGTAGAAAAGGAGAAAACTCATCCCTAAGTCACCAGCTATCATCAGGTAGCTCAGTGAAGTGATGGAGCTAAAGCAAGAGAGCTGAAGCATTATGGTTGCAGGAAGGGCTCTGAAGCCAGATTGCTAATCCAATCTGCTGTTTCTGAGCTGTGTGATCTTAGTCAAGTTGGTTACTTTCTGTGTAATTTATTTTCTTTCTCTGTGCAATGGGAATAATAGTATTTCCATTCAAGAGTTGTTGTGTGCATTAAATGTGTTAATATATACTGACTTCAGGCATGTAATAAATACCCAGCACTATAGTGACCTTCACGATGCTTTCTACAACATAGTGACAGAGCTGGCGTGGGAACTGTTGCTCTTGATTTTGTCCTCTCTGGAGTAGGGGCTGAACTGGAGCAGGCTGCTTTGGTCATTGCTCTGTTTTCTTGACATGGCTCTTTGCCTTTGCTGCTCTTTCCTTCCAGCAATACCTGAACACTTTCTATGGCTGCCCCAAGGATAGTTGCAACCTGTTTGTGCTGAAGGACACCCTCAAGAAGATGCAGAAGTTCTTCGGGCTGCCCCAGACAGGTGAACTTGACCAGAACACCATCGAGACCATGCGGAAGCCACGCTGCGGCAACCCAGATGTGGCCAACTACAACTTTTTCCCCCGCAAGCCCAAGTGGGACAAGAACCAGATCACATACAGGTGCCAAAGCAGGGTTAGGGGGGTCAGGGCCACTGGGCTAAGGGACACAGAGTCTGCTTGCATCTACCTTCTCGCCACTCTGGGGACCCGTATCAGTAGCGAGGGTGGGCATCATGGGGAGTTTGCATCTGGGGTCCTTGGTGAAGGGCATCAGCAGAACTGGATTCCAGCCTCACACTCACTAACCATGGGACACTGTGCCTTTCAGTGTTTTGAGCATTGACTTCCAATCTGAAAACCTGGGCTAAAAATGCCTTTCCTCATACCCTGGATTGGGGAACTTAGGTATACAAATGAAGGGCATCCGCAGTGTCTGGCACATGCCAAGATTGTCATGAGAATTAGTCATCACCATCGTATTATTAGATGTGTCATTGGGGTAGGCAGAGGAAGCCTGATGATTGACTGCTAATTGGGTGTTTGCTTTACTGAGTTGTTTTAGTTGGTGGCTAACTGAATTAAGAGCTATGCTTTGTACTGCTGGTCCTGGATTCCAAAGATGAAGTCTTCTGCTCTGTGTCCCATAATGCAGTCTTCATGTCCTTGCCTACCCTTGCACCTGACAGAAGTCAGAGATGAAACTCTTTTGATGGGACCTGAAAGTGTTGGCTGATTTGTCATTCCATGGGTCATGAGGCATTCTGGAAGGGCTGTCCTCTTAGCTCATTCAGTATGTGTACACACGTTCCTGCAGAAGCACACACTCCTGCACACACATGTGAAAGTACGTGCTTGTGGACCACGCAGTGCTTATAAACACACTCACATGCCCCTATACACACACACATTTATACACATTGCACACACACACTTGCATATGTACACACAGCCCTGCACACATGCATATATACTCATGTGCATTTCTGCCACCTTCAGGATCCTTGGCTACACGCCTGATCTGGATCCCGAGACGGTGGATGATGCCTTCGCTCGAGCCTTCCAAGTCTGGAGTGACGTAACCCCACTACGGTTTTCTCGCATCCATGATGGAGAGGCTGACATTATGATCAACTTTGGCCGCTGGGGTAGGCGGAAGACAGGCGGGTGGTAGGTTGGGGCAGAGATGTAAAGACAAAGGGGCTGTTTGGATGTTAGAGAGGTGGAGAGTGCAGTGTAGATAACAGAGCAGCAGGTGTAGACACTGGAGGTAATTTAGATGGGGGCGGCACAACATGCCACAGGCACTGGAGAGCCGCATAGATTAAGGGCACAGGAAGTGACCCAGTATAACCTGGATACTGCACAATCTTGAAGTAACTGTCCAACAGTGCAGCCCAAGCAGTAGCCATTAAGTACTATGGCTATTTACATTTAAATTAGCAAATCTTCTTAAATGAAAACTCAATGTGTCAGTCACGCTAGCCACATTTCAAGTGCTCAGGGGCCGCATGAAGCTGGTGACCTCTTTGCAGCATAAAGAATATCTGCATTATCCCAGAAAGTTCTGTTGGGTAAAGCTGGCAGACACAGAGGAGCTATAGATATGTGAGTAGCTCAGACATGAATGGACCCAGGGTCAAGGCCACCATGGGAATTGGTGGTATGAACCTTGGTAGTAGCATAGACACAAAGGCAGGTAATGTAGAACTGAACGGTGTAGTGGTGAGGGTACAAGGATAGGAACAGGAAGCCACATAGAGCTGTGAGTGGGTGAATGGACTTTGGTGGGAGGCATGGGTTAGGGTAGTGCATACTGGTGATAGTGTGAGCTTAAGGCTGGATACAGATAAGAGGGCAGTGTTGACAGGAAGGTAGATGGTGTAGACATTAGAGACAATGAGGGTGAGTGATGGGGCCACCAGTGTGGCATTGTAGGGATGTGAGTAGATATTGTGGCAATGGTAGTAGTGTAGACAGCGAAGGTAGATGGTGCAGATAAGGGAGCCATATGGACTTGAGGGAGTAGGGCAACCCGTAGGAGGGTCACAATCGGGGTGTAAAATCTCTACTGGCTCCTCATTTTCCCAGTGCTGAACAACCTCAGTGGGCCTGGGGAAGTGGGCAGAAGTTAGGTGGATTGGGCTTGGATGGGTTTTGGGGTACAGCAAAGTGGCTGGAAGCTGACACCTTGTGTGCATTTCAGAGCATGGAGATGGGTACCCGTTTGATGGGAAGGATGGGCTCCTGGCTCACGCCTTCGCTCCAGGTCCTGGGGTTGGAGGAGATTCTCACTTCGATGATGACGAGCTGTGGACCCTTGGAGAAGGGCAAGGTAAGACAGTCCCCTGCATGCTAGTCACCTGGCAAGCAGGAACCACTGCTTCTCTGGTGACCTTGAACCCATCCGTCTGCTCTGATGGGATAAGGGGCAAAGGGAGGGCAGCCAGAACCCTAGTCTCCAGAGAAAGGCTAGCAGGGCCAAACCGCACACTGCAGCTTCCTGTTGCCCTCAGTGGTCCGTGTGAAGTATGGAAACGCCGATGGGGAGTACTGCAAGTTCCCCTTCCTCTTCAATGGCCGTGACTACACCAGTTGCACAGACGCAGGCCGCAGTGACGGCTTCCTGTGGTGCTCTACCACCTATAACTTCGAGAAGGATGGCAAGTACGGCTTCTGTCCCCATGAAGGTGAGTATCTGTGCCGGCCCTGACTCTCCTCCCAGGCCTGCGGCATTCTTGAAGTCCCTGCTCTGCCGCTGCCTCTGCAGGCTGATCAATCAGCCACTGTCCTCCATGACTCATTTATGCCTCTCCATCCTGGCTTGGGCCATCTCTGTGTCTGTCTCATCTGTGCCCTGATAGCTGTGCATTGCTTAATGATGGGAACACATTCTTAGAAATGTGTAGTTAGGCAGGTGTAACGTCATCAAATGACTTACACAAACGAAGATGCTCTTGCTGTCGATAGATAATATAATCCTATGGAACCACCGTACCACTGTCATATGGTCCTTTTTTGACCAAGGTGTCACTTTTTCATGATTATATTTAACTAGTACTTTGATTAATTCAATTTTAAAAGTCTTACCATTAGCCATAATATATTGAAGTCATAGGCTCACTGTGCTATTTTTTTTTAACATACATGACAATGAATATAGAACTATTAAAGTGTCCGGTGAGTCTAGGATCACTTTCTATACTCCAGCTAGGGCTAAGGGCTGAAGGACCTAAGCAGAAGCTTGGGGAAGCGTGGAGGCCTAGCAGTAAGTTAGGGAAGCAGGACTCAGACCTCCTGGAACACCTGATCCGGCTGGGGACTTCTACCCTGTAAACATCAGCCATTGGTCTGCACTGGTCTTGTTGCCATCTCTGCTAATGAGTGTGTGTGTGTGTGTGTGTGTGTGTGTGTGTGTGTGTGTATGCGTGTGTGCATGGGGTCTATGCTCTCTGATTCTCTGAGCTCATCATTGGTCTGCACTGGTCTTGTTGCCATCTCTGCTAATGAGTGTGTGTGTGTGTGTGTGTATGCGTGTGTGCATGGGGTCTATGCTCTCTGATTCTCTGAGCTCTGCTTTCTGTCCATGCAGGATATCTAGCTTGTGTCTCATCTTTGTGTCTTGACATGGGCATTAAACTTTACTCAGTATTTTGTGTGTGTGCCTATATGTGTGTGTGTCCATGTGTGTGTGTGTACATGTGTGTGCCTCTGTGTGTGCGTGCACACGTGCTTTTGGAAATTTATTTTCAGGTTTTGAAGCCATCTAAGAGGAAGAGTTTTGAAATGTATAAGCGTATGACATATACATTTAGCCCTTTTTTAAAATGTTCTTGACATACTTCTTGATCATAAATCATAACAAAATCGTAAGACTTTATACCGATCATGTAATTATATTTGATGATTTTAGAGGCCATACTTTGGAAATTTGGGGGGAAAATGGAAGAAAATCTAAAATTCTTTTCCAAATACTTCTTTCTTGCCATCTCATAAAGATTCTTTAGTGTATACCCTAAAGGCCACCCATCTGTTTGGATATTATTACATGTGTTTGTGAAATCTCTCTGACCTCATTGTGACCAACACTGGGTGCCAACCTTCCTGACGGAAGGAAAGAAACAAAGAGCTTGCTAATTGTCTTCCTGTTTACTTTCAATACCAAAGCTAAACTTTGTATTAAGTAAGGATGTAAACTATTAGTCAGAAAAATTTAAATTACAATACTGTTTTTATCTTGATTTCTCATCAAGGGGTCAGATGGCATTAACCCTTACATGAGTCAGTGCCTTTGGTTGGAACAGGATGCCTTGATAATAGAAACAGCTGTATTTCATAAATTCAGAAGGGTTTGCCCCTGCATTGGACATTAGCCATTTACTTGGTCTCCAGCCAGGTGCAAGTACGCACAGTGCGCACGTGTTTGGGTCTCGCGGTTGGTGTTACTCAGCCCCTCCTGACTGCTGAGTCAGTGTCTGCTTCTTGCCCTCCTAGTTGGGGGATGGATCTAGGAGGAGTCAGGGGCTTCCTGGGTGGTAGAAATTTAGCTGATGGGAGGCCAGAGGTGGGGTGCGGCATCTGGCCTCTGTGGAAGTTAACACTTTATCTTTCCCTGCTCCTAAACCATCACGGTCTCTGAACTCAATTTGGCCTTTTCCCTGGGTCCCATTGCTTCTGGCATCACAGGACATGGGCTCTTGTTTGGGGGAGGTGAAGCAGTGAGGATAGGGGCCCCGATTCCTGAGGGGGGAGATGAGGGACTGGGCCCCATTCCGGCCATGGCAGAGTTAACCGGAGCTGGTGAGGTCACCTCTGGCACCACTGTGCACAGATGGTCTTTGTTATGCGTTTGTGGTTTTGCTTGTTGGCAATTCCAGAGCAACACCATTTTGTAGCATTGAGGTGGATGTGGGGACAGGAGAGCAGGAGGAGAACTCAGGACAGGCCAGATCTTGCATCACACTCTTTCCTCTGATTCTCCAGTTGTGGCCATCATCATGGGAGTAGGAATCTGCTGTGTGTATTAAAAGGGTTCTGAAGACAGCGCCTCCTTTTTCTCCTCCCTACCTCTTCTCCTCCTCCACTGTATCCTGTAGGGACCACAGCAGGGCTGTCCAGGATGTTCCTGGGGTTGAAGAGAGGTGATACTTTCTCCCTGCACATGCACAAAGACACAGTGATCCAGAGTTTGATATTAGTGAATTTTGTAGTTTTCAACTACAGACTGCATTCATTTCATTTATGTGAAGACTTCAGACTTCAAATGGAGGGATTCTTACAGATGTGCCCACCATGGGTGATATAGTTAGCAGTCTGATGGTGTAGACTTTGACCAGGCAAAGTGGATATTGACCTTGATGTTGGGGCAGGGTTCTGGAGACCCCTGCTGTGTGTGAAGGGTTGACCACGTCATGGCTAGTGTCCACGAGATCACAGGGGAAGGAGCAGAGGGGACAAGGCTGCAGGGCTTCTCTCCAGGAGCTCACAGAACCAATAAATAGAGCTGTTTTAATATTTTAACAACACAGCTTCCATGGTGTAAACTGGCAGGTGGGCAGCCTGCCAGCTCTGTGCCCAGGCAGATGTCTCTCTCTCAATGGCCCCCCCATCTCCCTCCCCAGCCCTGTTCACCATGGGCGGCAATGCGGATGGACAGCCCTGCAAGTTCCCGTTCCGCTTCCAGGGCACTTCCTACAACAGCTGCACCACTGAGGGCCGCACGGACGGCTACCGCTGGTGTGGCACCACCGAGGACTACGACCGCGACAAGAAGTATGGCTTCTGCCCTGAGACTGGTGAGTGTCACTTCCTGCTGTCTGATACAAGCCCATCTGATCACCCCCAACTTCCTTTCCTGAGGGGTAGGGGTGCCCAGTAGAATCTTTGGCAGCTGGTACATCGTGGGCACAGAAATCAGGACAAATGTGAGGCACCAACAGCCACCTGAGCCTAAGTGTCAGGCTTGCTCAGGACCCTCTGTGAGTGACCTTGCCCTCTTATCTCTCCTCTCTCTGACCTTGCTGTCTCTATTGCTTTTTCTAGTCTGCTTCTCCTCCTATCTGTTTTTCACTGAGGGCTCCCTTCCTCTGTTCCTCCTCTCCTTCTCCCTCTCCCAAACATGCTTTATGTGCACACTCAGAGGTTGGTCTCCCCAGGACCCTGCTAGTGGGTGTTACGATACAGGGGTGTGTGTTGGGACCATCAGCCCCCTGGGCATCTGGCCCTTCTGCCCCCATAGGTGGGAGGCTGGTGACAGCTCTGGAATCTGGTTGCCTGGGTTTGAACCTCAGGTCTGATCCCAAATATCTGCTCAGGCAAGTTTCTTAATCTCTGCAAACTTTGGGATCTGCATCCAGAGTTGCCCCATGGGGGTAGCCTGTGACTTCCACTGTGCAGGTCTAGTGGGGGTGGAGGCGAGATATGGGGAGATCTCTTGATCTAGAGTGGGGGACAGAGTGAGGACTCCATAAACGTGGTTTGTTAACATCAGCGTAATGCTGGTGTTTCCTGGTGGCAACCTCAGACCCTTTGCTGCCCCTTGACCCGTGTCTCTCACCCCACAGCCATGTCTACTGTTGGTGGGAACTCAGAGGGTGCCCCCTGTGTCCTCCCCTTCACCTTCCTGGGTAACAAACACGAGAGCTGTACCAGCGCTGGGCGCAGTGATGGGAAGTTGTGGTGTGCCACCACGGCCAACTACGACGATGACCGAAAGTGGGGCTTCTGCCCAGACCAAGGTACGAGGCCCTGGCATTTGGGTGGAGACGCTGCACACCCTCTCCCCATACCTGGGCTGGAGACCTTCCTGGGGATCCATTCACCTCAAGCACCCCAAGACACCCCCCCACCCAGCCAGGATCCCTAGACCCATGCCCAAGCAGAAATCCTGTCCAGCCTTGGTAGAGACAGGTTCCCTGCTGAAGCCCTGACCAGATAGGACCCCTTCCACCTGGTACCTCCTTCTCAGTGGAAATCAGCCCTCCTAGTTTCCAGCCCTGTCTTCCATCTCGACCTCTCCTTTAAGAAGGGACATCGCTACCATTCTGGCATGGCTTCCTCTGCCCTGGGGAGGTAATTCTTCTCGGGGACATTCCCACTCCAATACAGAGATGCCCTCAAGGAGTCGGGCAGTCAGCAGAGCCTCCAGAATCTCTCTGCCCGCCGCATTAGCTCTGCTCTTTGCCGAGATATAAGTGATGTCCCCTCATCTGTGCTGAGGATGCACCTGCCAGCCCAGCTCCCTGACCCCGGGACTCAGGCTGGAGTGAGAGAGTGACCAGAAGACAGTCCATGACCTTATGGTGGACAGTGTTGTGAGTGAGGTACTTGGGCACGGTGCCCTCTAGTCTGCAGGGCATGTAGACTTTGGGCCCAAAGCCCCTGATGACCTGTTGCAGGTAAGGGCTGGTCCGGGACCTGCCACAGTGAAGTCAGCCTTCCTTTATGTTACTGTTACTTTTGTTACTCACAGTGAGATGTACTTGGTGGATCCCAGGAAGGCTGTTTTTCTTATCCCCTGCCAAGTGCCATGCTGGGACATTTCCTGACTCTACCCGCTCTGTGCCGGCCTTTTGCCTACAAGTGGGATTCCCCATCTGCCTGAACGGTTTTGTGGTTCACTTTGGGTGATTGTTATTTTCCTGAGCTGCTATGACAAAGTACCGTAGATGGGTGGCTTAAAACAAAACGAATTGATTACTTCATACTAATGAAGGCTCAGCATCTAAAATCAAGGTGTCGGTAAGGCCACATGGCCTTTGAAGGCTGTGTCACTCCATTCTCTGTGCTATCATCATGCAGCCTTCTTGCCTCTGTGCCTGACTCGGAGTCTCTCTTCTTATATGGATGCGAGCCACCTTGATCTTCTTAATTACCTCTACAAAGACCCTATTTCCAAATAAGGCCACACTCACAGGTACCTAGGGTTGAAACTTGAACTTATCTTTTTCAGGGCATCATACAACCCAAACCAAGGTGTGAAATAGGGTTTGCCTGCTATCTCTGGCTGAGCCTGACATTGAGCCCAATGGGGCATAGTTTTACTACTTTCTCTGGGGCAGGAATGGGGGAATCATGGGGATGGTCTTTCTTCATTTGCCTACCTCTTGAGGAGCCTGAGGAGCAGGATGTGTCCCTAGACGTTATAGAGACATAAAGTACAATATTTAACAAAAACAGAACAGAATTGTTTTCTTTGCTGTCAAAAAAACTCATTTGCCTACCTCTTGAGGAGCCTGAGGAGCAGGATGTGTCCCTAGACGTTAGAGACATAAAGTACAATATTTAACAAAAACAGAACAGAATTGTTTTCTTTGCTGTCAAAAAACTCCTTTGTTTTGCAGCAAAACATCTCCTTTAACACAAAAGATTTGCAGATGCTTCTGGCCCTCCTCCTTCATAACACACACGCGGCCTGCACTGGATAGGGGCAGGAGGACTTTGGCTGACCCCACTTGGAAGCAGTAGACATAGATTATTGATTCCAGATTGCTCAGGACAAAGAAGATCCCTCTGTGCCACTTCCAGAGATTTTAGCCTCGACAGGGATGTCCCCAAATCTCCCTCGCTGGGTCCCTGGCTCCAGTCTCATCTCTCTCTCTCAACCCCCTCTCCCTGCTGTGGTTCCAGGGTACAGCCTGTTCCTTGTGGCAGCCCACGAGTTTGGCCATGCCATGGGGCTGGAGCACTCGGAAGACCCCGGGGCCCTGATGGCGCCCATTTACACCTTCACCAAGCACTTCCGCCTCTCCCACGACGACATCAAGGGCATCCAGGAGCTCTACGGTAAACCTTAGCTCAGGGTGCTGTGGGAGGAGGATTTGCAGCCTGGGTGGGAGGCCCGAGGGAGTGGGAACCAGCAAGGTCCCATCTGCCAGAGACAAGGGCAGGGTGCGAATGGTGACCTGGTCTTAAAGGAGTCAGAGCTGTGCTCCAAGAGGAGGTTTGAATAGCTCCGTGTTTTATAAACAACACTGTTTTCACCATTCTTGGCTCCCTTTTTCTGGGGCTCTTCTTTTCCAAGTAAATAAACTGAAGTTTGAATTTAAGCATCTAAACCCTTCACCAGGAGTTAGCTGACTACAGTCCAGAATTTTCCATAATCTAGGATGAGCTTAATGATATAGGAGTCAAAGTTTCTAGTTCTCAAAACACGCTTTTATTTTGTTATGTAATAGAAACACAACTAATCCCTTAAACCAATGATTTGTTTATTATGTGTGCTTAGAGTGAAGCCAGAGATTAAAAAGTCAGTCCATTTCTTTAAAAAATAATCAGTTTCTAATAGTCCTGGTGGTACTTGAGCCAGGCCAAAGGAGTGGAAACTGTACTTGAGCGAGGAAACTTGGGGACACTGAACTCAGGAAAGGACCTGAGGATTGGAGCACCAGGTTCCGGTGTTGCCTTTGCCATTTACCAGCTGCCAGCAATTGAATAAATCATTACCCCTCTGAACTCAGGTTTCTCAAATGTGGCTGCTTATCATGAGGAGTAAAAAATTCAACCCTGTAGGAAGGGTCCCACCCTCTGGTGCTGTGCACACGAGTGGCCCCTGACTCTTGTGGGCTTAAGAAACTAAACTTTGGGTTTGAATCTTGCCCAAGTCACTCAACGCTTCTGGGCTTCAGTTTTGTTGTCTATGAAATGGGAATAATGGTGATACCCACCTACTGGGGACACAGAGGACTAATTCAGGTGATATCAATGAAGAGCATTTATCAAATATAAAGGAATGCAGAATTCTGGCTTCTCGTCACTCTCCAAGTGTGGGCATCTTTATTTTCTTGGGCTCACACTACTATTGCATCTGATGCTGGAGGCCCAGGCTGGTGGAGAAAATCTGTAGATCTGGGCAGAATCTTAAGGTCAGACATCCCTCCCTCACCCCAGGGGCCTCTCCTGATACTGATATTGATACTGGAACTGGCCCCACACCCACACTGGGACCTGTCACTCCGGAGATCTGCAAACAGGACATTGTCTTTGATGGCATCTCTCAGATCCGTGGTGAGATCTTCTTCTTCAAGGACCGGTGAGTCAGGAGTTTGCTTTTTGTCCTTCCTGCTTTCTGACCTCTTCCCTTCCTTATTATTCTGGTGTCTTTGCCCCTTGTGGAGGACCTCCAGAGGCCTTCACAGAATCATCTATTGGCAGCAGTTTTTGCTGTGTCTCACACAACCTGCAGATCCTGGTGGCTTACCACACAGCCACCTCTTTTGCTCACTCAGGCTCTGCAGGCCTGCTAGACATCTAGGCTTCCGGCTGAGGTTGGGGGTGAGGTGTACTGAATGTCACTCATTTTCCTGGTGTTAACTTGTGGTTTCCTGGTGGCAACCTGTGGCAGATGACATGGTGCAAGAGGACAAATGAAACCACACAAGCCATTTAAAGCCTCCACACACACCATACCTGAGCACATTCCATTGACTAAAGCAAACCATATGGTCAGGCCCAACACCTTCCAAAGGCCAGACAACAAATTCACATGGCAAATTCACATTCTAAAGTAGGATGGAGAAAAAATTGGGAAAAACAAGCCAGTTTACCACAGACCTTCTCCTGAAATGTTCTTAACCTCAAACAACCAAGTTGTTCAAGGTGTGGGTAATCGGTGACCATAGGATAGAGAGAGGTAGTGTCCTTGCTTTAAATAAAGATCCCCACTGATTTGATCATGGCTGAGACTCACCCTAATTGCTTAGTCACTTGAATAATAGCAAGGAACATCTAGGACCTCGTTAAATGGTTTGTCCACTGTCCATCCTTCCAACCATCTGGCCACGCATGAACACTGCATACATATGGACCTCCATCCAGCCATCCACTTATGAGGTATTATCTTCCCATCCGGTGATGCATCTATCCATTCATCCATCCTAGAGTAAAGCAGGTGAGAAAATGGACTCTGGAGTTACAGCACTAGACCTGCTATATACAGATTTTATGACCATAAGCAAGTTAATTAAGTATCCTCTTAGTGCCCCAGTTTCTTTATCTATAAAATATAGCTAGTATCCCTTCATAGGAAAGTGACAAGGATTAAATGAGCTTAGTGCCTAGAACAATGTCTGATACAGAGCAAGTGTGTACAGACATGTTAGCTGTTTTTACTGACAAATAATTGTTGGGCATGTTTTGTGTCAGTGATCTTGCTAGACCTATTGTGTGATGGAGGAGAAGACAGTATGCTGGGGACAGAGGCTCTGCTCAGTGCCTAGATCAGTGTTCTCAAAGAGAAATGCATGTGAGTGTTAAATGTGTTGTTTCCACCTGTCGCTGTGGGCCCTTTGACTAGAATCTCTGGGGGCAAGATTTCAGCATCTTTAGAAAATGTGGCGATTCCAATGCACATTAAATTTGTGCATCGCTAGTGTAGCTTGGGAAACAGCATAGAGAACTGACATTAGCATATGCAGAACAGAATGAGAGAAATGTGATTGTAGAAGCATTAGCAAAATGCCTTTGGGAGGACATCTTATTCAAGGAAGATTTCACACAGGAGGCAGGCTTTGAACTTAACCTTGAAGGAGAAACAAAAGTTTGATGGACGGTGGTGAGATGGTAGATTGGAACCTGCAGAAGACAGGGGGCACTGCAAAGCAAGACCATGTGAAAGATCCTGCCAGGAACCGGGAGGCTGGTGAGGCTGGAATATATCCCAAGAACTTGTGAAGGGCCTCCTCTGCCCCAGGCATGGGGCCAGGTGCTGGGGTGCAAATGCTATGCCCTTCACAGGGTCTGCCAGCCAGTGGGGAGAAGAAGGCAAGAAAGCAGTGATACGTACAATGCAAAGAGAAGTCAATTATCATTAGGCTCAAATGCCCAAACCAGGGTGTCACTTGCTGCCCTGCAGCCACTTATGAGGGCAGGTGACTTGCAAGTGAGGAGCCCCTTCTCCAGGAGTGTCCTTGGCTGGAGCACTTCCCAAAAAGAAGCCCTGGGTTACATGTGCAGATGTCAGAAGTCTGGACCTAGGAAAGGGCTCAGAGCCCAGCTGCAGGCCGGAGGTATTCCCGACTTGCCATATCACACTTATTTTCAGAAAGACTCGTATCTATTTATTTATTTATTTTGGTACTGGTATTTTGAACTCAGGACCTTGCACTTGAGAGGGAGGCAGCGGCACCACTGAACTAAATCCTGGCTCACTACCTGAAAGACTTTGATAAATGTTTAACGGACTCATAGAATCAGTAATTAAGCACTGACCCTGTGTAGGAAATCATGCTAAGCATTTGTGTTAGTTTTCTGTTACCATAAAAAATAATACCGGAGATAATCCACTTAAAATAATTTTGGCTCACAGTTTTAGAGGTTTCAGGCCATGACCAGCTGGCCTGAGGCCATACATCATGTTAGGGGAAGCCTTCACTTCCTGGTACAGACAGGAAGTGAGAAAGAGGAAGTGAGAAACCCAAGTCCCACACCTCCTTCCAGGGCACGCCCTCTGTGACTTAATCTACCGATGTGCTCCAACTCATAAGGTTCCATCACCTTCTTAGCATCAAGCTGAGAATTTAGCCTTATAATTGGTCCTCAAGTGGACACTGCACAGCCCCACAGCCTCAGGAGGACAAGGCCGGTATTGCAGAAAGACTAAATTTGGATTTTGGAGTCAGATCTGGATTCGAATCCCAGTAATAACCTCTCTGAGTTTTATTCGCCAATTAGGGATCATGATTTCTTCCTTTACTAGGATGCTTTGCTGTATGTGACAGAGATACTCTCTCCCTCCTAACGTCAAACTGAAGCTAGCTTAGCCAGTAGAGAGGAGGTACTGTTATATGGTACAAATTCCACAAATACAGAAGAAGGTCAATGACTTAATGTCTTTGTCCACTAATATCCTTTGTATTGACTGCATCCCAAGACTGGGCTGCCTCCTGGTCACCAGATAACTGCCAGTGGCAGGTGGGGATATGGACTTCCCATATCCACCAGGAGAGTTACACACAGACTCTCTCTTTCTCCCCTACATTTGAGATACAAATCATTGTTCAGTATTGTCATGCCAGTGTAAGTTATGTGGCAGCTGTTGATTCAGTAACAGTTGCCAAAAAGTACTACACTCTGATTGGCTTAGATCAGTAGTTCTAAAACTTTGGCATACATTGGAATCATCTGAAAAGCTTCTTAAAACACTAGCCTCAAGCCTAGTCTGCTCTATAGAGTCTGCTCTATAGATCTCAGGTAGGATCCAATAATTTCCATTTCTAACCAGTCCCAAGGTGCTGCTGTGGCTGTTTGGGAACCACTCTTCAAAAGTCAAAGTCTTAGACTAATGAGTATCTACTCCTAGAGTGGAGATTGGATCATAGGCTGATGGTGGAAATGGTGATGGTGAAGGATGGATCATATCTGTGGACTTCTGATAGAAAGGATAGGGATGTAAATAATAAGTTCTGGGTAGACTGTCAAGACTGCACATCGTACTGTTATGAGGATTAAATTTTATGAGGCATAGAAAATGTGTAGTACTTAGTAGGCCTTCAACAAACAATAGCTCTTGCCCTTGCCAAAGTGTAGTTTCATTCCATTTCAACTGAGAAAATGCTTTAGAATGCCATCAGCCCATGCCTCAGGTGGCTTCTAATAAAATGGGACAGATACGATAAACAAGTGCTGTTGCAGGCACTCAGTACTGATTTTGAGAAGCCTACAGCTAGAAGGATGCAGTATAGACAGAGGTCATGAGAGAGATGAAGATGGGGAGCAAAAGGGTTGCTTTTCAACCCCAGCATCTCTTGGGGGAGAAATCTGCCCATTCTGCATTCTGTAGCCCTTGTCCCACCTTCTTTTGATCTTGACTCTCCTTCCCATCATAGAGTCATCACATGGTTGCTGCTGAGTAGGATTTGGAAGACACATGTGGTCAGAGCTATGGAGTGACTTTGTCCTCTTCCGATGTGTAGGTTCATTTGGAGGACTGTGACACCACGTGACAAGCCCACAGGGCCCCTGCTGGTTGCCACATTCTGGCCTGAGCTTCCGGAAAAGATCGATGCTGTGTATGAGGCCCCACAGGAGGAGAAAGCTGTCTTCTTTGCAGGTGTGTAGAAGGGTCGTGCCAGCCATTGGTCTGTGGGCGCTACCCCAGGACTCTTGTGCCTGGCCCACTCCTCCACCCAGACGCCTGTGGGTGCTCTTTTCCTTTATGCATCCATTCTTTTAGTATCATTTCCAAAAGTTTGGGATGCAGACACCCAGCATCACATAGCTTATCCTGCAGAGAGAACATTTTCTTTCCGTGAGCGCCTTTTCAATCCTTCCAATGATTCTTTGCCAAAGAAAAACAGTCTCACTTTGGTGCTTGTATGTCTCTGACATCTTCATAGTGCTAAAGTCATCATAGGCCATTGATTTAGTTAGAATTTAAAAAATGACTACTTTTCATTTTTCATTTTTAACAAACCCGTTTTCATACAGGTGATTAGTTATGTTAGGGTGGCATTTCAAATCAGGACAGAAACGCATCATTCCATGCATAATATTTAGATGACCCCACAAAAATTTTTAAAGATATCTAGTTGTAAAGATTTTGAAATGAATTTATTAAAAGCAAAAATATGAAGTAAATAATAGTACAAGGAGTCTCCAAAAGTGGGTAGGGTGGATGTGGCTAATGGTTGGGAAGCGTTGCTCATTCAACATTTATTTGTGCACCTACTATCTGGTGCTCTTTGCTGAGCTCGAGGGATGCAGCCCTTGCACCCCTTTGCTCACAGGCTACTCAAAGAGACAGCCAGGCTGCCGGGAGGTGCATGATGCGGAGACCAAGAGGATTCTGCCCTGTCCTAGAAGCTGGCTCCCATCTCCATCCCACAGTGACCATATGTCCTGGCCAGGGTAGCTGTTAGCCCTCACAGTGCTGTTGTATAAAGTAGGAAGAGGTGCCTTTCTGTGGCCAGCACAACACTCATATGTCCTGGATCTCACATCCCACCCCAAGTCACCTCTTTGGCATTGTGTCTTCTATCAGCAACTTACAAAACCTTGTGTGTGAGGCCTGATTTGGGCACTGCACCTGGAAGTGAGCAGGACCCCGTATCCTGTTAGCAATGGCTGCAGTGGTCCTGCCCGACAGGTGATGGGGCAGGCTGGCTTGGGGGACTCCAGCACAGTCACCAACACCGCTTCACTTCCCCCCAGGGAATGAGTACTGGGTCTATTCTGCCAGCACCCTGGAGCGAGGGTACCCCAAGCCACTGACCAGCCTGGGATTGCCCCCCGATGTCCAGAGAGTGGATGCTGCCTTCAACTGGAGCAAAAACAAGAAGACGTACATCTTTGCGGGAGACAAATTCTGGAGGTAAGGGAGGGCTGTGGGCAGGACAAGAGCATAGCAGGATGCAGCTGGATGCTTCTTACATCAAATTTAGAGGTTGGCGGGTTGTCGTTGCCCTCTTTCTGATCTGTAACCTGTCAGAGCCGAAGGCCCTCTGAGAAGTCCCTGAAGGATTGATTAACCATCCTGTTGCACACTGATGGTGTAGTTCTGGTCAGAATCTCTTCTCTTCACATGTGTTTTCTAATTGGGCCTATGTATGTCTAGTCTGGACATATTTTAAAGCAAATCACTGTTGAAGGGGGGGCTAATAACAATAAAGATAGCAGCTGCTACTGTTGACACTATGTGCCAGACATTATTCCAAGGGCTCTGTGAAGTGTCTACTATTATTATTTCCATTTTGCAGGTGAGAAAACTTGTATTCAGAAAGGTTAAATAACTAACTGAAAGTCACACAACAAAGCAGTGGAGATTGGGTTTTGGGAATCTGGCATTTTGGCTCCAGGGACATGGTAGTGTTCATGGCAGTATCCTGACTCGATGAAGAGAGGCCCCAAGAGGTGGCAGCGGTAGAGACAGGTGGTGGGGAGAGACATGTGAACAGGGAGACTGAGAACTGGGTGCAGCAGCCTCCTCCAAGAGCCAGCACCCAAACCAGGGCCAGGAAGCAGCAGCACCCTCTGGCAGGTCCACAGCAGGTTCGGTGGCTGTGGGCACAGACTGGCAGGGGAAGAGTTTGCAAGCAAATGGCTCTGTGTGCCAGGTCATCTAGGGAGAAGGGTCCAGTTCTGGGAGGCCTTTATCAGGCTAAAAAGCCAAGGAGCTTGATATCCAGGTGAGGAGCCCAGATCTCAGGAGTCTGATGATAATTCTTCACACATTCCAGATGATAAAACTTGGATCTAAAAAAATTAAATAACTTGTCCAAGTTTTTTGTTTATGAGTTTGTTAGAACCCAGGGTAGGTAGGAATGCATGCCTGTAATCATGCTTATAAACTCTGGGAGGTTCAGGCAGGAGGATCACAAGTTCAAGCCTAGCTTGGGCGGGTTAGCAACTTAGCAAGACCCGGTCTTAAAATTAAAAGTAAAAAAAAATTAAAAAGGGATAGGGATATAGCTCAGTGAGAAGGATCTGGGCTCAATCTCCAGGACTTGAAAAAAAAAGAATGTGTTGGCGCAGAGCTGGGATTGTGTCTGCTTCTCTTGTCTTCTCACCCACTGCCCCTTCTGGCTCATTTGGTTAGTGGGAAAGGGAGGCTTGGACAAAGGCTTTGGTGGGTATTTTCCATCTCCTCCTTCCAGTGTTCCCAAACTCCTGTGTTTGCCACTGTATCTTCTACTTAGAAGCAACTCCCTGAGGCTTTTGTCAGCCATCCTGGGAATGATTCTGAGTCCTCCTGAGGCCTCTGTCAGCTCCCCTTTTTCTCCCCGCTCTGCCATGCCTCCAACTGCCCTAATTCAGAAGCTGCTTATATCCCAGGGCTGCCCATGACAGGGTGGAATTTTAGGTACATTGCTAAGACACTTAGCAACCTAAGCTGATTGATATCTCAAGCTTCAAAAAGGAAAACAGTCAGCCAGGAAACCACTGAGCAGCCTTCCGCCCATAGCCCTGGCGTGCTTTTCAGCGTGCCCACATACTTTGAATGACATCTGAACTTCCCAGGCACTTGAAACTACAGTGAGAGGCACAGAATCATTAAAAGCTAAGAATCATGCATATCTAAGAATCATAAAACCCTGTCATCTTTGCAGCATAGTGTTGCAGGACTCGTATGGTCACCCTGTCACATACCCTAGGCATATACACATACAAGAATAGACGTGTCTGTGAGTGAGCTCCAGTGCCTGTGGACACACCCTGACTCACAGGCTGTGGCAGTGCCTTGCCAGGCTTCTGGGCAGAGTCACCTGTCTTCTGGTCCTTTTCTTATCAAGCAACTTCCCCAAGCCAGGGACCAGGATGGACAGTTTATTCTGCAGAGGAAGTTCCTTAGTCTCCTCAGAAAGGAACGGAACTGAAGGACTGGAAGGGCCTCAGAGGCTTTGAGCTGGGCTTTCAAAAGAGATCTTGCTTGAAGCAGAGGTGGTGGATGAGCTTGTGGCAGTGTCCTGGCATGGGTTCTGCAGAAGTCCTGAAGGTATGCTTGCTGTAGGAGAGGCCCCTGAGTGATGAGGAAGGGGCATCTGCCTACAGTGTGTCGGGAAGGACACATTGCCTCCTTTGGGAGCTTCCTCTGAGCCTACAAATACATGCTAAGCATTTCTCCTTTTTCCCAGCCACTAGCAAGGTGTGGGAAGACTGTGCTTAAGAGGTAGTCAGTACTCCTTGTCCTCCTGGAGCTTACAGTAGGGAGCAAAAATGACTCAAACACATTTGAAACAAGTAGCAGTGGCTCTCCTAACACCCCTGTGCCCAGACCTGAGTTGAGACTGTGAATGTCACCTGGATTTCTGATTTAAGGTAGATTCTTTTATCAGACCCATTTCCCAGATCCGGACACTGAGGTTGAAATGGGTTAGGGACACAGGCATGAAAATCTGGGATGAAAATAGCTGCATTCTTATACCTGCTTTACATGGCAGAGGAGAAACTTCTGTGACATCCTTCAAAACAGTGTACCAGCAAGTGGGACACTCTTCAAGATGATGGGGACAGAGGGAAAAGGAGGAGATGTAGCACCTTCCTGAGTCTGCATCTTCTTATGCCATGACACTATGTTCTTCCTGGATGCAAACAATTTGGAAACAAACTGGTTCATGTGTTTGAACCTTGATTTCCTTATCTATGAAGTAAGGTTGATTCCTGCTCTCCCCATCTGTTGGAGGTAGAATGACAAAGAGTTGAGGGTAAGGTCAAGTCTGGGACACATGGCTCTGAGCCTTCCTGCACCTAAGGATGTTGTTGGAGGGGTCAGTGGAGGTGAGGGATAGCGGGGTTCTGGGAGCTTGAGCTATGCAATTTGGTTTTGCTAACCCCTGTCATGAAGAAGCAGATTTTATCAGAAGTAGTCTTCCAGTTCAGTTGAGATTATGAAGGCCTTTCTAGTAGTTCTTGGAATGATGAGCTGGGGCTGGGAGAGGGAGACCCCTGTACAAGACGTCTTCAGGGGAAGTTGTTGAAATCTTGGTGAGGTGGCAGGGATGGCCTGGGGAAGAAGAGAGCCAGCTAGGAGAAACCATTAAGGAGATCTTGGATGTCACAGGGTGGGATTCAAACACAGATCTGTCTAGAAAGCTCCCTCCACGAGCATAAGACTTAATTCTGTTTTTGGAGATATCTACTGGCTCATAGCAGGAGCTCATTAGATACTCACAGCATCACAAATAGGTTGTATGTAAGTGGAGAAGCAAAGGAGTGAAAATGACAGCAGGATTTTAAAAAGTTCTCCAACAGAGTTTAAAAGACAGAGGTATTGCTGCCTCTAGGGAGACGAATCTGCCAGTGAATGTCTATGATATTTGCCTGAATTAAAGGCAGGACCCAAGGCAAGTATGTACTCTGCCAGCTGCAGCAGGGACCGGGATGGCAGGTAATCCACCTGCCTGTGACTAACAAGCCTTTGGCTCACATTCATCACTTTGCATTGTAACCTCACCCCCAAGCCCTCATCACCTCTCAAGATGTGGTTTGTTATCTCCTTTGATAGAAGAAGAAGCAGCAATTTATTCAAACAATGAGACAGGTCCCCACCCATGGGCACTTGGCCCAGTGTTCCCTGAGACTGAAGCAGGGATCAACATTTGTAAGGGATCTAACATTTCTACAGACCTACAAAGTGCCAGACACAGGGACAGACATTTTGTGTCTGCATGTTGGCAGTAATTGCAAGATGGATTTTATGGGATCGTCCAAAGTCATGTAATTAGTAAGCGGTGGAGTTAGATTTCAGACCCAGGTCTGATTCCACACCCTCCCACTCCCGCTGGCTGCATCTCTGAGGATTGAGGTCTGGTTTCTGAAGCCTACCCAGGAGCTGTCATATGGGGAGGGGTGGCCTTCAGAGAGGGGCGGACCATCTGGTTCACCGTGTTTCTTGTCCTACAGATACAATGAGGTGAAGAAGAAAATGGATCCCGGCTTCCCTAAGCTCATTGCAGATGCCTGGAATGCCATCCCCGATAACCTGGATGCCGTTGTGGACCTGCAGGGCGGCGGTGAGCAACCCAGGCCTCTGTCCGCTTTCTAGGACTCCCTGCCCCCCAGCCAAGGCCTGGTTCCTCCCCAGCACACACTTCCTCATTGTGCAGAGCAGGCATGCTATGCCCCGGGAAAACAAACCAGCCCCTTCAGCCCAGGACTGGGAAGGCATCCAGACCCCTGACCCCTGCTCCCTCAGCCAGTCCTCAGGCAGTGAGACCTAGAAGGGCCCCTCACAGCTGCAGGGACTGAAGCCAGGGCAGGGGAGGGAAGAGGCCTGCAGGGGGCCAGGAACATGGCCTGGTGCCCTCGATTCATTCTGGGGTTTGATCCAGGTCCCTTTGAGTTTTGAAGGAGGCCTCATTAGCAGAAGGATGGCTCAGTTTGAGACAAGGCAAACTTTGTCATGCTGTTGCTCATGAAGCAAAGATCCTGCTCTCCACTCTGTTAGTTCCTTTGCTGAATGAAACACAGCCAGTATCAGCAAGGGTTAGAATTTGGAGTTGAAAAATTGAATTCCTGAGGAAGGCTCCTGGGAGCTCTCTGGGCCCTGGAAATTAGTTCAGTTTGACTTTTTAGAGGAGATTCCAGTTCAATTCCACAAAGATATTTTTGAGCCCCTACCATATGCGAGGCACATAGCTCCCAACTCCAGTGTCTAACGGTCTTACAGATATATGAAAAAGCATGTATGGTCAGGCCCTAGGTTAAGGGTTATCTTCAGCCAAACACGTATTGAGCCCCTACTATGTGCCGGAATTTTAAACGAGGTAAATAGAACCATATATGTATGTTAGGAGGAATTCACAGATCTCAAAACCTCCAGGGACCGCACAGGGTGCAGACAGTAGGGACTGGATGGATCTGGGGTGATCCAGAGACCCCATGTCTTACTTACAGGTGGAAGTTGCTTCTCAGCTTCTCATAATTGTTGGTCTGCAAGAAGCAGGGCCTTATGTTCTTAGATATTGTAGTTGCTTTTAAAAAAAGGCATAAATTTTTACATTCATGCCACATTTTGAGATGTTTCTATGTTGATAACTTATTCAGAATTAAAGACAAAAATCAAAATAAAAAATTTGTATGAGCCAAATAAAATCATCTGTAGACCTGATGATAGGGCTGAAAGGCCTGGTTTTCCACATGTGGTCATGGAAAGTACTTCGCTTAGTGCTTGTGCTAAATAAGGTACTGTTATTATTATTACTTATTAGCATATGCCATCTAATTTAATTGCGCTGCAAGCCCTATGAGGTTGCTGTCTTTATCTCCATCTTAGAAATGATCAAACAGGGATTGAGAGTCCTTAGTTCTTTGGTTGGTTGGTTGGCATAAATATACTGTCTCTAGTAGGTAGATAAATAAATATATATACTATAATAAATACATATATATATGTATTTATTATAGTATATATATTTATTTATCTACCTACTAGAGACAGAGTCTTGCTATGTAGTTGAGGATGGCCTTGAACTCACTATGTACCCTAGGCTGACCTCAAACTTGCAGTGATCCTCCTGTCTGCCTCCTGAGCACTGGGATTACAGGCGTGCACCACCACACCCAGCACTTCTCCAGTTTAAAAGATTTTCCCCCAAATCTGTGACAGCCAAGCTCCCAGGAACTTTCTGCCTGTATCCTAGAATATCAGGATGGGTTGACTACAGCCTCTCTTCCTTTTCTGTCCCAGGTCACAGCTACTTCTTCAAGGGTGCTTATTACCTGAAGCTGGAGAACCAAAGTCTGAAGAGTGTGAAGTTTGGAAGCATCAAATCTGACTGGCTGGGCTGCTGAGCTGGCCTGGCCCCCACAGGCCCTTCCTCTCCTCTATCCCTTCCCCACACTGGAGCACCCGGAAAGGACAGGGAGGGGCCTAGGAGGCCTGCCTTCAGCTCCATAGTTAATCAGCAATCTCCACCCTCACCCTGGTATTTAAGATTCCAGAGAGTGGCTCCACCCTGTGCCCAAAGAAAGGTGCTGTTGTACCCCTCCCAGGCGTCCCTTTCCCGTCCAATCTTACCCACCTTTGGGGCCAACCCCAAAGAGATTCTTTGATATTCCCAATGCAGCCCTGCTCTGGGCTGCCCTGGTGCTGCCACCCTTCAGGATCTTTTCCCTCCACAACTTACTGTGGCTCACAGCACCCTTGGAGCCAACAGAGACTATCTCCAGAGGGCACTGGTGGCCCAACAGCCTGGCATGGGGCAGTGGGATGGAGGAATGGTCAAGTGGCCTCCTTGAACACCTGGCTTCTCTCTGCAGGCTGCCTTAGAACCTTCCCAGTGCTAGGAGTTTGCTTTGTATGCACTTTGTTCTTTTCTTCTGATCCTCTGATTTTTCCACTTTGTCACATTTCCTGACAGAAGGACTCAGGTTGTCTGAAGCCACCACACCATGCATCTCCGCCCACATAGCAGTGGTTCCCTCATCCACTGTTTAGGATCCTTACCCAGTCTCCGCCTCCACTGGTTGGAGGAACCCAATCCATGGCTTCCTGCTCAGCCTTTTCTGCCTCTCCCTTCAACAGTTCCCCATGGGAAATGACAACAAGTATAAATAAAGACTCCGGTTGAGTGACAGTCTTTGCCATGTGTTTTAAGCAGGGGCTAGAGTGGGGCTACAGCTGCGTCCAGAAGAGGAAAGTTAAAAAGAGCAAATCTCTGCTCCCTGCAGGGAACAGATAAAGCTCTACTGGAAGGTTAGAGCTGCCAAAATAAACAGCAAGAGAGCCTCAGCATGGGTGAGCTCGTGTCCTTCCAATCTGGTGAGCAAAGAGCCCCAACAAAGCAGCAGTTCTTCACTTTAGTTATGGGGTGTGTTCATGGTTTGTGTTCTTCCAGGCTCAGTTTTTTCATTAACAATGATACCAGTTCTAATGTTACTACTAACAACCTACAGCAGTGCTTTCCCCCATGATTACTTGAGGGTTTACAATGTGCCACACACTTTACAGGCATAAATTTCTCTAACCTTTACAACCCCCTAAAGAAGGAGAGGCTATTAGCCAGCTGAATCTTATTCAGAGGAGACTAGGACCAGAGTGTGAAGTGGTCTGTCCAGGGTCCTGTAGCTGATAGTTAACAGAACTGAGTCAAGAGCACAAGATGACCTACGGAAGGATCTTCATCTCTTGGCTTAGAATGAGCATCAGCAGCTGGATCCTCTACCACCACCCAAATCTCCCTATGTAAACACACATGGAGGAGAATAATGTGCATGCTTTCTATGCATAGCTACTTTCAGTGAGTAATTCTTCCTGCCAAACTGCTCACTCTCCTCTCCTCCTATATAGAAATTTGGAAATTTAAGGCCTGAGGTTCTTTTTGTTAATTGAGACAGTCTTACTAAATTGCTAATTTTCCCAGGTGGGGATCAAACTTGTGATCCTCAGCCTCCTAGAGTGCTGGGAGTACAAATGTGTTACCATACCCGGCGGCAGCCTGGGATTTTTCAGGTGACCCTGCCGGCTAAGATAGTTCGATGATCTATTGCTTCAGGTCCCTCCTGGTTGAGCTGGTGAGGAAGGGACAGGAGGAGGAGTGCACAGGACTCCCTGGAGGTGATCTCAGCAGACCTAAAGACATCTTTTTACCATGGTCTGCCCACAGGTTTGGGTTTTGAAGGCTCTGGACAGACGGCCTTCTTGCAGGTATCCAGCCAAAGAGCCACAGAGCAAGCTCTGGAAGGTGTTATGCAGCCCTACCTGAAGATCCTCTAGGCTGGGAAGCTTGTATCATGGCTGTAATATACTGTAATTAAGGTTCTCTGCTACCCTGAGAGAAAATTCAGCTATTCCCCAACTGCCATTTCTTGAACGGTTTTCTGTGAACATGACACGTGTTACTTTATTTAATCTTTATTACAATCCTATGGAACAGGAATTCGTTTTCCACACCTAAATGAGGCAAGAAGCTCACAGAAGTGAAGGACTAGTTCAGAGCTGCACATCTATATGGTAAGGTTGGAAAAATCTGAGATTCTATATTCAGTAGGTTTGGCCAAACAGCTGGGTAGCAGCATTTCATTCTGGCCATTCCTGCTCTGATATGAATGAATGATTTACCACCTCCATCCTCCATCCTTTCATTCTCACTCAGAAATGGATCATCTGGTCTCAGGTCCAGGGACAACCCCTCTTCCCACCACTACACCCACATAGAGATCCAACAGGCCCTTGTCCTTCCTCAAGGTGAAATGAAGCCGCCACCACTCAAACCATTTCCCTTTTGCTTCAGGTTCCTTATCTGCCGAGAAGCCAACAGTTGCTTTTGACTTTTCTAGCAATAGCTCGCTTCTCCTCTGCAGAATCATCTTGTCGCTGTCAGTATATATGTCTTGAATGGAACAGATTTCACTACTGTTGTCAATTTTTATTACTTACTTTCTGCTGCCAGACAGACATCCAACTCCAGTTGGTTTACATAAAAATGAAACACACCAGACCTCAAGCACATAGAGCAACGCTCACTTTGGATATATTATTTCATTTAAAGGAATAGACCAGGGAAACTGACATTGCTGGATCCAAGATCTGTTTGTCCCCGTCTTACAAAGGGAAGTAATCGAGGTTCACAGAGTTAAGTGATTTGGGGGACATCAGTAAAACTGAAAATCCAGGTTTTCCTGACCTTAAAGCAGGGTACTTTGTCTAAAGTGCCATTCATTTGGGGTTCCCTTTAGAGTCATTGCTGAGGGAACCACGCACCTCTGAGGGGGCGGAGCTATGCCGCTAAAGGGGAGGCACCGGACACCTAAGAGGGAGTGTCCAGAGTGGAGGGGCGGGGCGGTCGCTCGGTAACTCTGGCGCTTGCGCAGAGGTGCCCGGGGCTGGGACTCGGGCGGGGTTCTGTCGCTGTCCGGCTTCTGCAGCTCTCTAGAGCCTCCTGTTTTCGGCTGAGATCCTCCTCCGGCTTCAGCCATGAACCCTTGCGCCGAGGCAGCGG